ATTCTTCATTGTTTATACCTTAACCAATTGAATTACGTCAAGAGTCTGGAAAATTTGTTCGATCCACGTTCATAAGAAAAGGCTTTTGGAATAGACCATAATAATTTAATATGTATATGAAGGAGTTGTCATTATCAACCAAGTCGCCAAGACATGTGAGTCAAAGTCTATACAATGTTATTGTTCCCTACTAGAAGCTTCCCTTTGAAGCAATATAATTTTTCTAATAGAATAATAATTACTTGTCCCAATGAAATTGGTTTTTGTTTTTGGTCTAGCTTAAGATTATTTTAGACATTAAACAATATTGATTTAAGCCAAGTCTTGTTTAGAAATTTTTATTTTAAATTTTAATGGTGATAGATTGAAATAATACAAATTGAAATGTATTCTAAATTAAGTTTGAAAATAAAAACGACAATCCCGAGTAACGTTACAGATATGGTATCAAGTAAGTCTTGTTTGGTCGAATTAGGTTATAATGGTATTTAAACCCTTGATCAAATAAGCCCAAAATGACACATTTAGTATTTGACCTAAAACTCAAACGATTGGACCCAAAGCCACTGAACCCGAGACTCGAATGGTCGAGCTGAAAGGCCATCAAAGTTCAAACCCATATACTCATGGATAACTCATAAACAATTGAAATATTGAAATCGTAATAGAAAAATTAAAGAGAATTTAGAGACAAATAAATTAGAAAAATTCTCTAAGTTTGTGAAGATCGAACATTCCATGAGGACTAAAAGACTATGAGGATTATAATAATACCTCAACACTTGAAGACTAGAACTCAGGAGAAAAAAATTCTCACCTCTCGAATGAAGCATAGGTCTATAAAGGTGTGGAAACATCTTCTTAGCAGATGTGTTTTAAAAATCTTGAGGAGAAACCCGAAATGAAAAGTACAACAGGACAATACCTGCTAGCTGTGGGCTTGGACCGTTAAAAATGGTATAAGAGCTAGAAATCGAGCAGTGTACCAGCAAGGATGCTAAGCCTCAAGGGGGTGGACGCCAGGTGGTGTGCTGGAGATGATACTGAGCCCCAAACGGGGTGTACACTAGGCGATGTGCCAGTGAGAATGCTGAGTCCTAAAGGGGATGGACACTAGGCGGTTCTTTGAAGTTTATCCCCGTGGATAAAAAATGTAATCAAACTCTTTTCCACTTATTTAATGAAGTATTTTAAACAAAGAATTCATGTTTTAAAACTTAATCCATATGGTTTCCTTCCTCATTCCCAAAGAGCACATGGGACTTCTCTTGGTAAACGCATAAATTCACCATAAATAATCCTTTCCATAGCTTACCCGACGCCTACCGCAAAGCTTCAAAGTCTAAAGGGGATGTCTTGATTCAAATTTCATCCATTTAACACTTAAAAAGCCCTTTGCTTGCAATGCCCACTTTCACTCACTTTACCACCTTCACAATTTTATTACCATCACACTATAAATCTCCCTACCCTTACTTCCATTTCCTCATCCAAACCCGAACAATGATGACTATTCTTACACTCATTCTTCTTCTTTCGACCCTTTTAGTCAAATCATCAGATGCCCAGAATTCAGCTCAAGATTATATTAATAACCACAATTCAGCCAGATCATCTGTCGGCGTCGGAAATCTTGTATGGAACACAACTCTAGCTGCCTATGCTCAAACATACGCGAATTCGAGGAAAGGAGATTGCCAATTGGTGCATTCGAACGGGCCGTATGGCGAGAACCTTGCAAAGGGCAACAATGGATTCACTGGCACAGCTGCGGTGAAGCTATGGGTTGATGAAAAGCCTTACTATAGTTACAACACTAATGCATGTGCTGGAGGTGAGTGTCTTCATTACACGCAGGTTGTTTGGCAAAGCTCTTATCGTGTTGGGTGTGCGAGAGTTCAATGCAACAATGGCTGGTGGTTTGTGTCTTGCAATTATGATCCTCCAGGCAATTGGGATGGCGAGTGGCCTTATTAAGTATGCTAATGATAATAATAATAATAATGAAGTTCGTATATGCTTTTGTTCTTGAAAATAAATGGTGCTTGAGATGATGATGTTCTCATTAGTTGGTGTTAATACACATGTTTTTAAGTTTATGTCGGCTGTTCTTAACATGTTTTTATGTAAGTTCTTGTTGTTCTTTCTCCTTGCTTTGTTTCTCCAAAAATATTGAACATCATAGTTCAATAAATATGTATATTCAAAAGAAACTTGTGTCGGATCTCCAACAATGATTCTAGTTCTCAAAATTTCATTTCTCGAATAATGGTAGCGAACTAGCTAGTCCCCAACAATTACAACATTTTAATTTAATGTGACTCAACAAAAATAATAAAGGTGAAAAGTCGGAAATAACCCTAAACACACGAAAGTTTGAAATTTAAGTTTTTGGTATATCATTTGATATACGTATGTCAACGTGATTGTTCTACTTCTTTTTCGGTAGATCAAGAATATCATTGATATACTTATATCTTATCGACATATTTTATTTAGAATGTAACTTCGATTTCTTAATATTTTTTTACATAGTCATGAAAGATTTTAAAAGATAATGTGAAAGACAACAAACGATGCAATTTAAAGATTGGTCTAAAAAGTTTCCTTAACCCTATCCAATCTGAAATGTTATCTAATCCAACCCAACTCTTATAGTATGGATTGGGTTAGTTCGAGTTGTCAGAATTAATGTACACCTTTCATTTTTTTTTGTTCGGTTCTTTTCACCTATTTTTTGCTTTGGTTAATTTTTATTTTTCTTCTACTTTTTTATTTTTCTCGACTCTTCTCAATTTCTCATTTTTTTTGTGGCATGATTTTCTTTTTCTATTTTGTTTTTAATTTTATTTTTGTTGTTTTTTTAGATACAATAAGTTTTGTTTGTAGTTGTGGTTTCTTGTTTATTATTATTTTTTTCTTAATGCATTTACCAAATTTAAAATAGATTCGGCGGCACAAATTCTTAGATACGGTTAATTTTTAGTAAAGATATTGAATAGGGACATAAACAATTCGCACGGATCCCAAATGATTGAGAGAAGAAATAAAAGAATGAAAAACAAATTACAATTTACTAAATCATTTGACTTAATGAAAAGTGTAACGTTCATTAGTAGTCGATATTGTCCTCTTTAAACTTTTCCTTTCGGTTTCCCTTCGAGATTTTTAAAAGGAATCGGGTTTAGTAGAGAGGTTTTCACACTCTTATAAAAAATGTATCGTTCCCTTCTCCAACCGATGTGGGAGCTAACAATCTACTCCCCTTCAGGACCCAACGTCCTCGCTGACACTCATTCTCCTTTCTAATCGATGTAGAATCTCACAATCCACCCCCCTTCAAGGCTCAGTGTACTCGTTGACACTCATTCCTCTCTTCAATCGATGTGGGATCTTACAAACTACCCCCTTTGGATCCTAACATTCTCGTTGACACACCGCTCAGTGTTCTACACCCTTCAAGTCTTAGTGTCGTCGCTAGCACACTGCCTAGTGTCTGAGTATGATACCATTGAAACAACTTAAATCCATCGTAAGCAGATATTGTCCACTTTGACCAGTTACGTAAGGTCGTCAGCCTCACAGTTTCAAAGACGCATTTTAGAACCATGAGAAAACCGTAAGACTGACAACGATATACAACTGGCCAAAACAGACAATAAGGCCAGACAATAATAAATTTGTTACAAAAACTATCCAGCAATAATTAATCATCTAAAATTAACAAATCTAATAAATTTGTTAGATATAATTGCAAAAGAAAAATATTAGTTATTTATATAAAATTCTAATAGAATTCCACACCAATTATTTTATCATGGGACATTCTATCTCTAAACATAATATTTCCAAACATCTTTAATAAAATATTCAACCAAACAACTCGAAACAATTCGAACTAAATCAAATTTAAATGCAGAAACAATTATGAATTGTTTTATATGTACAATTTTTTTTTTTTATAGAAATTTGAACATAGAAAGAAACGAGAAACACGAACAACATGGGACCCAACCTTAGTAATCAATGTATGTCCTTTGTGTTTTTTTTTTTTTTTTTTTTGGCTGCCTTGCTCTTTTCTAATTCTCGCAGGCAATCACGCAGTGTGAAGAAGACGAAGACCCGACTGCCAAGTCTTTCTAATAAACAAACTTAGCAATATCTCAGTTTTCACGTTTTTTCTTGAGTCCTCTTTTAAAATGTTCATGTATTTGATTAAGTGTATTTTTTTTTCCACGATCGAAAACGATTTTCATGTTCGGTTCAGAGAGCATGCTAGCCAACAGGTGCTGAACTTTGTTTTCTTTCCATAATAATTCTAAGTAGTAAACGATTGAGATTGAATATGTAACTGTCTAAACCCACCGGTAGTAGATATTGTTCGCTTTGATCTTTTACGTATTGTTGTTAGGCTCACGGTTTTAAAACATGCCCATTAAGGAAAGGTTTCCACGCCCTTATAAGGAAGACTTCGTTCCCTTCTCCACCCGATGTGAGATCTCGCAATCCACTCCCTTGAGGGCCAACATTCTTACTGACACACCGTCCAATGTCTGGCTATGACACCATTTGTAATGGTCTTCTCATCACTAGTAGATATTGTCTGTTTTGGCACATTACATATCGCCGTCAGCTTCACGATTTTAAAACACATCGGTTAGGGAGAGGTTTTCACACCTTTATAAAGAATGTTTCGTTCTCCTCTCCAATCGTATTACAATCTCATAGAACATAATAGAAATAATTATAACAATAAAAATAATTATATCCAAGTCAATGTCATGTGCAAAGTCTTGATCTTAGTCATCCAGCTAAGGAAATTTCTCTTGGGTCAATGTCATGTGCAAAGTCTTGATCTTAGTCATCCAGCTAAGGAAATTTCTCTTGGGCTGCTTTTGGATAATCAATCAACCCATTTTTTCTCACAATTTCTCCATAAATTTCCACATTTTCATTCTTATAAATAGCAACAATTCTCATCCCATTTTCCCACACAAATATCTCATCATTTTCCTACTCATAACCCAAAATGGCTCTCATCAACCTCTCCCTTTCTCTCCTTTGTGTCTTGAGTACTTCTATCATGTTCCCCTCTATGGCTCAAGACATGTCTCAAGACTTTGTCGATGCCCATAACGCCGCTCGTGCACAAGTCGGTGTTGGACCCATCCAATGGGATGAAACTGTGGCAAACTATGCCCGACAATATGCCAACCAACGCGCCAACGATTGCCAGATGGTCCACTCTAATGGGCCTTATGGGGAAAATCTTGCAGGAAGCTCGGCTGACTTATCGTGCACTGACGCAGTTCAAATGTGGGTAAACGAAAAACAATTTTATGATTATAACTCCAACTCGTGCCTTGGCAACGAGTGTCGCCACTACACTCAAGTAGTGTGGAGTAAATCTGTTCGAATTGGATGTGCAAAAGTGAGATGCAACAGTGGTGGTACTTTCATCACCTGCAACTATGACCCGCCTGGCAATTACGAAGGTCAATGGCCATACTGAAGAATGTCACCTTAATAGTAAGAGGACGTGCACTAAAGTTATGTTCGAGTCAATAAGAGAAGCTTTGAAGAGTCGTGTATCCCTTTTTATCAATCTCTCATTTAGCCACCTTTTAAGCATTGGGTCTCTTTTTATTGCTTCTTTTGTCTTCCTCCTTTGAGGCTATGAGCATTAGTTTATGTTATTAAATAGTTTTTATGGCATGTCAAATATAGAAAAATTATACTTTAGGTCCTAAAGTTTGGGTTAGATTGCATTTTGGTCCGTAAAGTTCATGAAAAAAGCTTTTATTCTCCTCGGTTATTAAATAAATTCTCTTTATTATAGGTTGCATTAGTATGCTTGAGGAGTGAAACATAAAATTGAAAGTTTTTAAGACATCCACTCTTCAAAAAGATTTTTGGTTATTTTCTAGATCGAGATTGATCAGAAGATCCTTTTAATTGGCTAGAATACGTTACTAGAACAAAACTAGATCTTGTGGAATCAAATTAAATATTTGACAAGACATTTCATACCATACTAAAAAAATCAATCATTGTTTACCAACCACACATTGTCTAACGAAATCCAATTCTCTCTCGATATGTTGCTCAAAAGATTCGATTTGTGTGGATTCTTTCACAACTAGAGAAGAAATATAACATTGTTTGCTTTAATTTATCTTTATTAATCTAGATCAATCACCTATAAAAACGAGTCTAATATTGAAAAAGTTAGATAATCATGCGTAAACGATCCTGTAGCTATCAACTATCTCGATATTATATGAACTCATGTCCTAAATAGTTTCAACATATTAACTTGATAACACGGTCTATCACATGTATCTAGGCACAACCCTAATCATTCATCTCATTCAATACAATTGTGAAACTTATGACAACTCTTTCATAGTTGTCACATTGTATAATCATCATAGGAGTGACCTTGTGCCATTACGATGCTATGTGAACTCTTGTCACTCAAGACATGTTCACTACTAGAGACATGTTCACTACTAGAGACGGGATAGTAACTTGATAAGCTAACAAGGCAAAGCTCAAATAGGAATTTCAATCCGCTAACCTTTTTAGTTAAAGTAAGGCTTTTTCCTACTTCAAATTTCTCAAAACTCCCTAGTTATGATATAAAATCATAAAAAATATTAGTTGGTTGAAGTTCGATAGAGAAATAGAGAAAATGGTTCAGAATGGTCCAATTGAACCAGATTGGTCTAGTTCAACTGAACCCGTCCAACTTCACATGATAATGATTTTTTTTTCTCTACAAAAAAATGACAATATGGAACAACTCTATGTTCACTACTAAAATAAAGTCATTACTTCATACGCAACATGCCTAATGTGTGCATAAATTCATTTAGAAACATATATGTGTAAACGATGCCAAACTTAAATTATAACAACTAATAGTGAGGTTACCTACTAAGTATTTCTTAAAATACTCAGGTAAAGGTAAAGGTAAAGCACCTATACATAGATGACAACGTTGTGATGATGGTCATGAGACCAAGCTTAGGGCAAATGCATCCATGTTGTTTTTCTTAGCCCTTAAGTTAGATCACAACAAATACTTTATTTTCTTTGTTTTATTTAAATTTTGGTTATTTATTTTTTGCCTCATTGTTTTTTTACAATGAATGTGTAAGTTCATGGCTCACAATCGCACTTTGATGGCGGCGGAATTGCGATTGTGCGGCACTCAGTAAGTTCATGGCTCACAATCGCACTTTGATGGCGGCGGACTTGCGATTGTGCGGCACTCATTTCTCAGCAATAAGTGAGTTAAGCCTATTCATTCTCGCGTCGCCTATGGCCAACCGACGTATGCTTCTCAGCAATAAGTGAGTTAAGCCTATTTATTCTCGCGTCGCCTACGGCCAACCGACGTATGCTTGAGCTTCTGGCCCCCGTTCAAGAAGAAAGTTTTAGAGCAGAGAGTGTTTTGAACACAAGATTTGAGAAATTAAAATGAAATTAAAATTGGTGTTAGATGGGAATGTAAGCAAAAGGCAACAATAACGGCTTACTATCGGGTAAAACTATTGAGTAGGGGGAAGTTGACAATTATTATTTCTTTTAAATGATTTTTTTCGTGCATTGCAATTAAGTTATGCATGTAGTGGCGACCTTGATTTGAACAAGAAATTAGGGTTGTTACAAATGATATCAAAGTGGTACCTCTCCCATAAGATGTGGTTTGGGGACGAATCAAGTCGAAAGATGGTGGACATGTGATATCTGAGTAAATGAGGGGTACATGAATGAACCAAGACCACATCCGAAGGAGAGCAATCATGAGGATAGAATAACTAAAAAATGCTTAAAAGAATTGAAAATCATGGCTTATACCAACAATGTGTACTTTTCTTTTTGGTGGCTCAATCATAGGAATTTCAAATTGAAGCATGCTTTACTTGAATCAATTCTAAGAAAGTGAGGATAAAGTATGCTAGAAGTATTGATATGTGGAGATAGTTTTCACTTTTAGGAGTAAGCAATGTAACCATGTCGGAGGGGATGCATAGGAATGTGGGGGCATACAGGTATCAAATCTAAGGTTGCTACATAAACGTTCACAAAGAAGTAGCATGTGGTTGGAGTATTTAAAGAAATACTCTCGTAACTACATAAGGAAAGGAGCTGGTAAAATATCATGGCATACATAGATATCGTAATGTATACATCCATACTAATCAAAATGGGAAAGTATCTAGATGCACGTGACATACAAAAAGCATGAGGTTCCATACCTTTAAATCATAGTATATACTTATGATGCAAGTCATACTTCCATTCTTGTTCATATGAGACATACATGATACTTTTCATATTATCAATGATTAAAATACATGGTTTTCTAATGTCATATAGGCACAGAGCGAGCGTAAAGTAATTTACATGGTGTGGCACATAAAGATTCATGCATCATACAACATTGATAACTTAACATAATTCCATGACATAAAAAATCATATCATAGTACTGACAACACAGCACAACATTACATATGGCATAAATATAACATAACACATGTCAATAAATCATAAAACAACATAAAATGTGTAGGGGCCATCGGAGTACAGAAAGTGTAAAAAACGAATTTGAAAGTCCAATATGGTAGGAAGGTCTCCAAATATATTAGACCTAAGTTGGAGCCGAGAAGCCAAGTGAATCCATACTCTGAATCGTCCAAGTGGGATGAAACAGAGTATCCATTGTAACTCACATTTTCGGATAACTTTCTTATTTTTATTAATGACTTATAGAGGCAAAAACCAAGTGGTAATCAGAACTGTGAGTAAATAGATAGCTAACTTGTATACAAAGCTCGAGTTTAGTATTAAAGGATTGGATATGATTTGGTTTTCATAAAAGCACCTGATTAAACAAAGTTCATATTAAGTATAGAGTTTAATTGGTTAAGCTAGGAACTCGTAAAGAGGCACACTATTGAAAATCGAATAACAGGGTTCCTGGCAATGGAATTGAAATGAAGTACACAAATGAAACAAAGAATGGTTATAATAATACTTAAGAAAGGAAAATGAAGTACATAAATTGAAACAAAGAACGGTTGTAATAATACTTAAGAAAGGAAATTGAGTAATAATATTGAAAGAATAAAGGTTGATGAAGAAGGTATGATGATGAACTAATAGGGCTCCTCGCCGACAATGTTACCAGCAGGATTATAATTGCATCCAACCAAAGTCCAATTGTTATGGCACTTAACAGTGGCACAACCCACAAGAAAAGTGGCATTCCACACCAATTGGACGTAATGGCGGCACTCACCACCCACGCATTTGTTGGTTTTATGGTCATAGTACTTCTCCTCAGCCGCCCATGCCGCCACCGCACCCTCCGCCGTCAAATCCCCATTTGACGTCGCCAGGTTCTCCCCATAAGGAGAGTCTGTGGAGTGCACCATCTCACAAGTTTCCACCTTGGTTTGGAGATAGGCTTTAGCATGTTCTTCAAGTTCTTCGTCCCAGAACACCGGACGCTCCCCTTTCTTCTCTCGAACTGCATTGTGTGCCTTAACGAAGTCGTCCCCGGGTTCTTGACCTACCACCACGTGCCTTAGGCTTAGTGCAACCAAGCACAGCGTCGCCGCGAGTGTTATTTTCGACATCCTTTTTTTATTTAAGGCTTGATGATGCAACAACAAAAAAACAAGAAGAAGAATGTGAGGATGGATTGCTTGTGAAGGGTTTTTGTTTTTTTATTTATAGGCACAACCAATGCCTTTCACTCAAGGCTTGGCGTCATATGCGCCATGGATTCCAACAATCAACTTCCTAATTTAGTTCCTCTCTTCTTTATTTTTGGTGTTTTTCTATTCTTAGTTGAAGTCAATCAAAAATTCAAAAAAGTTGTTCACATCAAAGATTTTGAAATAATGAAAATAACCTAAAGTAACGAAGAAATTGAAATAATGAAAATAACATAGAGTTAAAATGTTCCATACTAATCTATATGCTACTAAATGAAAATGCAAGCTAACCTATACTAATCTATACTAAATGAAAATGCAAGCTAACCTATACTAATCTATACTAAATGAAAATGCGAGTATGGACCCACCAGTCGGTCCGCATACCTCTTGGGCCCTTTCTAGTCGGGTGAGCATTCTCTAGTAGCTGTTGATGCTGGACACCTTTTGGGAATAGCGATTGTCATGGCAGTATTATGGTTAGCATAATGATTGTTTCCCTGCCTCATAGCATACATGTCTGTACTATCATAAAAGGAGAAGAGGTATCTCCCGATTCATGAACACACAATAATGCATGAGGTCCCAACATTTTTCCATTTTCATTATCATGTACTATAACCCTTTTAGCATTTTCTTCGTATCATTTTTATCGTATCTTCGAGACTTATATCAGGTATTACGTCGAAGTGGTATGAGTAGAACGTCGAAGTGGTATGAGCATTTTTCTTCGTATCATTTTTATCGTATCTTCGAGACTTATATCAGGCATTTTCATTTAGTAGCATACATTTTCATTTAGTAGCATATAGATTAGTATGGAACATTTTAACTCTATGTTATTTTCATTATTTCAATTTGTTCGTTACTTTATGTTATTTTCATTATTTCAAAATCTTGGATGTGAACAACTTTTTTGAATTTTTGATTGACTTCAACTAAGAATAGAAAAACACCAAAAATAAAGAAGAGAGGAACTAAATTAGGAAGTTGATTGTTAGAATCCATGGCGCATATGACGCCAAGCC